GGAGGAGGAGGAGGAGGAGGAGGAGGAGGAGGAGGAGGAGGAGAACTGTGGGGTCCTTGCTGCTCTCTGAGCTTGGCTGTTTTCTTGCAGACATTTCACTACTCACCTAGGTGACATCATCAGTTACCTTGATGACGTTAAGCACTGATTGTTACATTGATGTTAGGCACTGATGACGTTCCCTAGTTGGGTCTTGAAATGTCTGCAAGAAAAGAACCAAGCTCAGAGACCACCAAGGGCCCCTCTTTTCACTCCTGAGCTACAAACATGGTTCTACATCGAACCCCACTCCCTTCTAGCACTGATGACGTTGCCTAGTTGGGTCAAGAAACGTCTGCAAGAAAACAACCAAACTCAGAGAACACCAAGGACCCCACAGTCCTCCTCCTCCTCTTCCTTCACCTCCTCCTTGCACTGATGATGTTATCTAATTAGGTCATGAAACATCTGGAAGAAAACCACCCAGCTCAGGGACCCCAAGGACCCCACAATTATCCTCCTCCTCCTCCTCCATCCTCCCCTTCTAGCACTGATGATGTTCCTTAGTTGGGTCACGAAATGTCTGCAAAAAAACCACCCAGCTCAGAGAGCACCAAGGACCCCACAGTCCTCCTCCTCCCCCTATCACCACCTCCTCCTCCTCCTCCTCCTCCTCCTCCTCCTCCTCCTCCTCCTGCTGCTGCTGCTGCTGCTGTCTCCACAATCCCCCCTCCCTTCTGTCACTGATGATGTCCCCTAGTTGGGTCACGAAACGTCTGCAAGAAAACCACCCAGCTGAGAGAGCACCAAGGACCCCACTCCCTTCTAGCTACAGATAATTCTCTTCTCTAATTTAGGGGGCCAAAAATCAGGGATTTGCTAGCACCATTTTGGATTCACCCATTTTATGGAAAAGACAGAGGCTTTCCTGAGTGCAACTCACTTCATCAGGGACATTCAAAAAACGCCTCTTTTAAGAAAACCGAAGAGTCAGAAAATACACTACTGGACTCCTGATATTTATTTATGTGTCCTTTGCTGGGCCCGATTTAAAGGCGCATGACAAAAAGTTCAAAAACTGCCTATAATCAGTTTCAATCCTGACTCCTCAGATCTCTGTTTGTACCATATCTTCTTTATACATGCTGGCTGACCTTGTCTGGATTTAGCTAAACAAGAGTCGGGCTGATTAGTAACTGAGATAGCAAACAATCTTAAAATCCTAGAGCAGGGGTAGGCAACCTTGGCTCTTTTATGACTCGTGGACTTCAATTCCCAGAATTCCTGAGCCAGCGTGAGGGAACTATGACCCTTTTATGACTTGTGGACTTCAACTCCCAGAATTCCTCAGCCAGAGTGAGGGAGCTATGACCCTTTTATGACTTGTGGACTTCAACTCCCAGAATTCCTCAGCCAGGCATGCTGGCTGAGGAATTCTGGGAGTTGAAGTCCACAAGTCATCAAAGGGCCAAGTTTGAAGACCCCTGCTTGGCTGAGCTTGGAAACCTCTCCCTTTCCCCCTCAGCATGGCTGGCTCAGGAATTCTGGGAGTTGAAGTCCACGAGTCATAAAGAGCCAAGTTGGCCTACCCCTGTCCTAGAGTGTAGCAGTTTCTCAACTCCGCCCTCTTTAAGATGTGTGGACTTCAACTCCCAGCATCCCCCACATTACAAAGTGAGCTTAAATGGGAAAATCCTAGAAAAAAATTACAGGTCGTCCTCAATTTACGACCAAAATTGGGCCCAAAATTTGTTCAGTGAATTTTGTTCCATTTTACAACCTGCAGTTGTTAAGTTAGGAACACAGTGGGTAAGTGAATATGGCTTCCCTAATGACTTTGCTTGTCAGAAGTTTGCAAAGTGGGATCACGTGACTCTGGGACACTGTGACCGTCGTAAACACGAGTCAGTGGCCCAGTATCCGAATTTTGATCCTTTGATCATGGAGATACAACAGTTGTAAGTATGAAAAACGAAGTCCTAAGTCGCTTTTTTCACTGCCGTTGCAACGTTGAACGGTCACTAAACAAAGTGTTGTAAGTTGAGGACTTACGTGTCCTGTTTAGCCAGCCAATTCTGTTGTCAAATGAACTGCGCGGACAAGTCCTTGACTTACCACAGTTGATTCAGTGACCGTTCAAAGTTACAACGGCGCTCAAAAAAGGACTGTTTTTCAGGCGATCGTTGCCGCCTTCACGGGATCAAAATTCAGACTCGTATTTACGACGGTCGCAGTGTCCCGGGGTCACGTGAGTCCCCCTTTGTTAACGTTCCGACAAGCAACGTCGTTGGGAATGCCAGATTCACTTAACAACCGTGTTAACTAACTTAATAACTGCAGTGATTCACTTAAGAACTGTGCCAAGAAAGGTCGTAAAATGGGGCAAAACTCACTTTACAGCGGTCTCACTTAGCCACATAAATTTTGGGCTCAACGGTAACGGTAAGTCAAGGATTTCCTGTATGTCGCCCATAATCCGTTTTAAACAATCGGAGGAGGAGGAAAAAACCCACACCAGGAAGTAATTTTAATGATGTTATATAAACACCATTACAAATAACTTCCTTGTGGCTTTCATACAAACACACAATCTTAATAGCGGCCTTGAAATTACTCTCCACTGAGTGTGGCTAATGGCGGTTGATCATTTATTTATTTTTTAAAGACGATTATCTCATTTTTCTGCATAATCATTTGGTTAGCTCTATCAATCAATCCCACACAATTCGTCCTTGACTTAACAATTACAATTGGGACCGGAATTTCCTTTGCTAAGATAGCTAAGATGGTTAAGTGAGTTGTGTGTCCAATTTTGCCACCTTTTTTGGCCACCATTGTTAAAGGAATCAAGCAGTCGTTAAGGGAAGCCGCCTTCCCCACTTGACTGCCTGTCGGAAGCTGGCTGGGGAGGTTGCAAAATGGCGGTCGCCAGAGCGTCGTAAAGTGAGGCCTGGGTGTCAGTCAGCACTATTTTCAGTGCCGTTGTAACTTTGAACGGTCGCTAAGCGAATCGAGGACTAGCTACGGGCAGGATTGGCAGTTTGGCTGTTTGCAAGCCCTTCTTGCCCGACCACCCCAAAGTCAGTCTCCTTTCTTGTCTTTGAGGGCCTCGCCGCAGCTTCTCTCCTCCATGAGGACCAGAAACATGGGAGGGTTGCATTGGTTTGGAAACGGAACCTCACAGGGGCCAATCCGCTTCTGAGCCTCCTTTCCTTCTCCGTGCAGCTGCTTTGCAAGCCCTCAAGCGGAAGAAACGCTACGAGCAGCAGCTGGCCCAAATCGACGGGACCCTCTCCACCATCGAATTCCAGCGCGAGGCCCTGGAAAATGCCACCACCAACACCGAAGTGCTCAAGACCATGTCGGACGCCGCTCGGGCCATGAAAGAGGCACACCAGCATATGTGAGTGGCCCCCTTTCCCCCCCCCCAGGGCGCCAGGGGTAGGCCACCTTGGCTCTTTTATGACTCGTGGACTTCAACTCCCAGAATTCCTGAGCCAGCCTGGCTCAGCTTGGAAACCTCTCCCTTTCCCCTCAGCGTGGCTGGCTCAGGAATTCTGGGAGTTGAAGTCCACCAGTCATAAAAGAGCCAAGGTGGCCTTCCCCTGCCTCAGGCGATAGAATGAGCATTCCGGTTCCTCCTTTGATTCCAAAGGCCGGTCCGTGTTTTGCCTTTAGCTTAGAGCGGTGTTTTTTCAAAGTTGGCCCCTTTAAGATGGGTGGACTTCATCTCCCAGAATTCCCCACCCCACATCCTCCTCCTCCTCTCCTTCTCCTCCTTCTCTTCCTTTTCCTTCTCTCTGCCTCCTCCCCTCCCCTGCTTGCTCCTCCTCTCCTCCTCCTCTTCCTCCTTCTCTTCCTTTTTCTTTTTCTTTTCTTCCTCCTCCGCCTCCTCTTCTCCTCCCCTCCCCTCCTCTTCCTCCCCCTCCTTCTCTCCCTTTTCCTTCTCTCCTCCTCTGCCTCCTCCTCTTCTTCCCCTCTTCCTCCTCCTCCTCTTCCTTTCTTTTTCTCTTCTTCCTCCTCTGCCTGCTCCACTCCCCTGCCTCCTCCTCTTCCCCTCCATTACCTCCTACTCCCCTTCTCTATATTGAAACCCCACTCTCTTCTAGCACTGATGATGTTACTTAGTCGGGTCATGAAACGTCTGCAAGAAAACCACCCAGCTCAGAGATTCCTCAGTCCTCCTCCTTCTCCTCCTCCTCCTCCTCCATAAACCCCACTCCCTTCTAGCACTGGTGATGTTCCCTAGCTGGGTTGTGACACGTCTGCAAAGAAACCACCCAACTCAGAGAGCACCAAGGATTCCTCCTCCTCCTCCTCCTCCTCCTCCTCCTCCTCCTCCTCC